TTTGCTATTCAGTTTTTGCTGCGCTCTGCACAAACAGGAGTGTTTGTGATTATCACTCTGCCCGACAAATGCAACTTGATGATACAGTATTTCAGCTAGATCACATTGTGGAAGGAATAACGTCAGCATAATTTTTTTCCCCAAAATTCTGATGAAAAAAGATAGGATATAGGATCTTTCCAGCTGCAAAGTTCTGGTAGAAAATAATTAGAATGTTCTTTTGGAGCCTGAGTTAGTAGATATACATCCTAGATCTGGTTCATGGCATGTAAATCCAGTTGCTTAATCTCAGCCTATTTTGTCAGATTTCTGCCTTACTTTGTAAATACACACACACACATACAAACTTCCCTAAAAGATGCATTTTGTATCTCTTTTTCCCTAATGTACACATTTTTGTATAGCTTCCTTTAGTAGAAAGGACATTTTGAGTTAACAACTGAATAGCAAAATTACATTCAATAACATTCTTATGCAATTTGCTATGTGCAACTTAAATTTATCCCTTACTGTATTTTTTAAAAATGTTACTTTGAGAAAGAAAAAAAAAAGTTTAAAATGATTCACTTCTCTGACATATCCTTCTTCCTCCTTTTTGAAGTAATATTCAATACTCGAAGCTTGAAGAAAAAAACCCTGCATTTTGAATTACTAACTAATTACTCCTTTGTTCCCACAGGAGCATTCAAGACTATCACCTCTGCACATCTCACGTCCTCCAATGCCAGTATCCGCATAGCTGGCTCTTCGGAACTGCTTGCTCATTCTCTGGAAAACAGGAGAAGTGCTGAGGAGCTTGAAAGTAGTCTTATAGACCATGATTCAGGACTGGAAGTACTGCAGAATAAAATGGCTGTCACTCCAAACTTAACTCCAGTAATTAATAAGGTGAAGCTAATGCTCTAGACCAGACTGCCTCCTATTTCTACTAGGAACTAAAATTGAGGCTAAATCATGGATTATGTTTAAACACATTTAGCTGTATTTATATATCTAATCTATAGAAGTTGTCAGATTTGTTGGAGTTGGTTAGAAGCAGTGCTAGTGTAGAAAAAGCAAGATTCATGAATTGCTAGCTTAGCTCAGACACAGAGGATGTATTTGTACACTTAAACCAAGGCTTGTAGTTTTGTTCTCTAAGGATATTTGCTCTCCCAGAAACTATGCAACCTGTAATTACTTTATATATGAGGGGGGGGGGGAGTAAAAAGTACAAAACATCATAATAAATAAGGGATATTAACCCCAGGGCCAGTGAAAACCAGTGATGCTGGTTAGATTTACAGATTCCATCTATGTGAGTCTATATTCACACACACACACACACACTATACAGATGAGTTTGTAATTAAAGGAATATGAATGTACATAGAAAGGGGCCCATGCTGCAATATTATATTGTCCCACCTAATGATACTAGCATAATTTTAGGGGGACAAATAGAAACTTGCATCATGAATACATTAATCACCACCAATTCTCAAGTATCTGCTCTAAGAAACCTCCTTACTGCTTTGTATTTGTTCAGCACTGGCAGTCTGTGGGAATAAACATTACTTAGATTCTGTGTTCCATCATGGATCTTAAAGGTTTTGCAGAACATTTAAGCCATTTAATAACATGGTTCTGGAAGACTAAATTTTTATTTAGAGCTTGGCCACAGTCTTTCAATAAATAGACAGCAGCAGCTGGGGATTTTATTTGTTCTTTTTTCCCCATCATGATTCTGCTGGAGAGGGCAAAATATAAGTAACATACATAGCCCCCACAAACAACTTTCCCACCAAGAAATAGATTCTGGAGCATCTTTAGGCCAAAATTGAGTCTTCTAGTGGCCATGGCCTCGGCAGGTAACTGAGCATAAATATTTATGCCTTCGAGTCAGCTTTTGACTTCTGGCGACTGCCTGGACTGGTCGCTGCAGTTTTCTTGCCAAGGTTTTTCAGAAGTGGTTTGCCCTTGCCTGCTTCCTAGGGCTGAGAGAGAGTGACTAGCTCAAGGCCACCCAACTGGCTTCGTGCCTTAGGTGGGACTAGAATTCACAGCCTCCCAGTTTCTAGCCTGATGTCTTAACCACTGCACCAGAATGGCTCTGTGAATGGCTTCACTGATTCTGGCCATATTTCTTTTGGATTATTGTACTGCCATATTTATGTGTAGGATATGTTGAAATATATGTACTTTCCAGGTGAAGTTAGACTTAATCCCGCACACCTCCAATGAGGTTGGAAATATTTAAGTTGCATTTTACAATGCTTCTTTATATGACAGCTGCCAACCAGGTAACTTTAAAAGGATATTGGACAAATTTAGGAGGATAAGATTATCAGTGGCAAATAGCCATGGTGATCATACACTGCTTCTCACATCAGAGGTAGTATATTTCTGAATACCAGCTGCTTCAGAACTTGGCCAAAAAGATGCATCTGTGTTTGCATCTTGCACTGTAGAAAAACAATGATGAACAAGGTAAGCCTCTGGTCTGATCCAATTGGGATCTTTCATTTTTAATGAACAGTTATTTTATGTGCTGCTTTTATTTATAGTTTCATCTATGGCTTTATATATTAAAGTGGAAGGGTTTGAATTTGAAGGTTATCTAATGATAGGCAGCTTAGAAATACTACACATAAAGGAACAAATAAAATAAACCCTCTGAATCATATTACAAATATTTGTACTGTAAGTGGCAAAACTTCATTGATCATGTGACTTTTTCTGTTAGATTTGCAGTGGTGTTAGATCAGAAGTTTGCACTCCCAGGGAATGTGTTGGAAATCTGTGTCCCCATCCAAATGCAACTGGATGTGGCCCAGGTCTGAGCTGCGGAGGAATCCTTGCCCTTTCTAGCAGTTCCATCCAAACTGCCAGGAAAACCACCCAGGAATTCCACAATTTAAATATCCAACTTCAGGAGACTGAACAAATGGTATGTATGTAGAATGGAGAAAGCAAAATGGAGGTGGGACCTCTGTTTCAAAGGATACGAGTTTTTTTACAAGCCTCATTGAAATAATATCTGGGTGCTTTCACTGTGTGGGTGTTGTTCTTGTTGTTTTTCCCCCTGAGCTTGTGAATGATTATCAGGACATGCAACATGCAAAAAGTTATTTTCAATGGTAGTCCTATTCATCTGACTTTTAAACTGAAATAATCTACCTGGAAAATGTTTTGTATGTCCTCGTGAAAAGACTTTAAGTCAGTGTTGTCCAAACTTGGCCACTTTAAAATGAGTGGACTTCAACTCCCAGAATTCCCCAGCCAGCCATGCTGGCTCAGTGTTGTCCAAACTTGGCCACTTTAAAATGAGTGGACTTCAACTCCCAGAATTCCCCAGCCAGCCATGCTGGCTCAGTGTTGTCCAAACTTGGCCACTTTAAAATGAGTGGACTTCAACTCCCAGAATTCCCCAGCCAGCCATGCTGGCTGGGAAATTCTGGGAGTTGAAATCCACTCATCTTAAAGTGGCCAAGTTTGGACAACACTGCTTTAAGTAGCCTTAAAGTCATATTGGCACAACTGCCGAAACTAAAATGTCAGGAGAGCCAACAAGAGCATGCTTGTGAATATGTGTAATATAGGCAGTTGCAACACTATAGAAGAAAACAAATATGCACACCCTTTATGCCTTTGAACTATTTAAGTGCTCTATTTGAATTCTATTTGATTTTTCAATTTTTTCATACATTATTTTTAACCAGAATCTTGCATCTGAAATATTAGAAAAGGATGGGGGTAATTAATACACGGGGAGGAACACTGCTACTTATGGACCCACCTGGAACAATGTTAAAACTTGAAGCTTTTAGGAACTATATTAAATACCATATGGAAATTGAGCCTGCCTTGCCCGTCTTTAGATCAGAGCTGCTGAAATGGCTTCCAGCAAGATTCAGACTAATGCCCAAAACTTGAGAAATCAAATGAGCACCGTTAGGACACAGATAGAGGCAGACATCCAGCGTATTCAGCAGTTCATCCGCCAAGTTCGCAACTTCCTATCAGGTAAGATCAGGTGCTTCTACATCCTAGCAGTGCTTCCACCAATCCATACTATGGCACTAGTCAATCTCTCTGCTGTATATAATTTAACTTTTTTGTAACATCTGCTGTTACACAGAAGCCAAATTCAATAGCTGCTTTCCCACAGAGCTTTTTCATGCAGAAACTCTTCCAGTTAATAGATAATTTATTCTCATCATGCCTGCTGCCAAACCCTCCACTAGCAGTGGGAGCTCTAAGGGGGACTTCCCTCCCTCCTGGAGCATCCAATAATATAAAAAAGTCTCCTGGCTCTAATTGTGAACTCTTTTGTAGCATTTACTTAAATCATTAGCAACAATATACAGAAACATGAACAGGATACAGACTGATACAATAGGAACTTTAAACAATCCCAAGCTATTGAATGAACAATCTAGCAACCAAACAATTCTCCTACTTCACTTCCAAAATGTGCTCTATCAGTGTCTCCTGTAGCTGGTTGAAATGTCCAGCTTTTCACACCATATTGATTCAGCTGCCAGTTGCGGATGGTGCCTTCTCTCCTTCACTGCTTGCTCATGGGTAGCCTTTTTGACAGCAAACTCTTCCTTTCTTCTTCCTTTTTCTCTCCTGGAAATTGGAAACTGCAGAACAAAGTACCAACCATGGTGCAATATTTTCTAAATTAATATTGGGAATAAATACACATAGTATTTGTTTGTTTGTTTGTTTGTTTATTTATTTATTTATATAATGTGTGTGCTGCCTACTCATCAGTCTGCCTACTCTAAAATGCCAGTGCCATGATAAACAGAGTTCTTGTGCTGTTTTTGCCTCTTTTATTAGTCCTTTTCCAAGTAGCCTAGCATCTTAGGTGTGTGTAGAGAGAACATTCTATTCTGTCTCTCATTTATTCAGAGGACCATTCAGTTATGAACAATGGAAGCTTTATCTAACAATAGCAATTTATGAACAGATAGTATGAGATATAAGTTGTTTCTGTTTCAAAGTATATCAAAGTATATCAACCTGAGTACTTAATTATAAAATGATTGTTGCAATCGCTGCAGTGTTTTTATTTCTCTTAGCTTTCTGGCTCCTTTCCTTACATCATGCATATATTTCCTACAATGAGTTTTCATCTCAGACAGACCTCAGAGGTATTGTTAGACACTAAAAACAACAGAAAGCTGCAGCTCAGTGCTGTTTGCCTTCAATTCATGGGTATTTTGTGATTGACCACATCCATCATGACTGCTATTTTATGAGAGTGCCCATAATGTGCTCTCAACATTTCAAATGTACCTTTTAACCCAATATGATTAGGGACCTTGCTCTGTATATAATAAGACAGCTGATTCCTTGCTATTTGATTCTCTTCCAAATTGCTGGGTTTTGCCCTAGAAAAGAATTAGAGTTAGTGAAATAGCATCTGTTACAGGCCAATTAGTTGATTAAAAGTTGTCATAATTTTGCACGCAACAAGAAAATACTTGAAGTAATTTGTTACATGCCCAGGCAGATCATTGTCAGGTAGCTTCTGCTTGTTTTAGAAGAGTGGAGCCACAAAAAAACTAGAACAGACTTCCCTGTAGAAATTGTTTGGTTTTAGGTTACTTCAAGTTAGGGATGTGCAAAACTCACTCTTCTGGAATGGAATGTTCTAAAATTATCTAGAAGATTCCATTCCTGAAACAGTGAGTTATGTACTGTACATCCTTTAGAACCATGTGAAACCTTCATGCTATCCTAAGAGTGGTTCAGAGGTTTCCAGAAGCAATTTCCAAAAATAAAATTCCCAAATTAATGAGTTTTAGACATCCTTATTTCAAGTCCTTTGGAGATGACCAAATGAAAAACATGGAACAAGTTTTCATCTATTCAGATTTGGGCATTTCATAAAATTCCTTCCACTCTGGCAAACAGCAGTGAATCACAGTCCTTCTGACCCCAATTTTTAAGCACTAATATATGCTTCCACACTATCTTTTATCAATGTTCTCTTTTCTACATCTGACAGAACTAAAATAGAGTCCTGTTTGCGTAATAACAATAATGTACAGAATATTATCCAAAAGGTTATGAGCTGGATTTCATTCTATGTTATACTTAAAATATGTGGGAGTTCTCTTTTGAGTCAAGGCAAATCTTATTGTGAAAAAAGATTGAATAGAAATGCCTTTGTCTCACCCTGAAATTATTTATAAAAGTTTAGTCTTATTGGGTCTTTTTACCAAACCATCTGGTGTTGGTTGTGTTGATATAGATACACACATACACACACATGTGCGCGCGTGCGCATACACACACACACACACACACACACTGGATTTAATACCCTATAGTGCCCCCCTCTCTTTCCCTGCCCCATTTTCTTATTGTTTCAGTTACTTCAAATGGTGGTTATTTTTCTCCAACCTTTAAATTATTATAAACTGAATATGCTAGAGATATGACAACTTTGACAAAAGAAAAATTCTGAGCACATGCTGAGTTTCACATTTAACTCATTTTATTTATCTATTTATTAACATTTTAAAATCACCCAGTAGCCCAAGTTCTCTGGGTGGTTTAAAATTAAAACACAGTTTAAACATACATGATCAAATCAAATCAAATACAAAATAAAGACACTATACAAACCATGTAGCAACATGATGGTTATCAAAATTGAAAACAGTACACATACAATTAGAATAGAATAATAATATGATTTAAAAGTCTGGGAAAACAAAAAAAAAAGGTCTTTACCTGGTGCTGAAATGATGATACTGTGGGTGCCAGGTGAGCCTCTCTGGGGAGGACAGTCCATAAATGAGGTGCCACCACAGAAAAGGCTTTCTCCCTTGTAGAGACCCACTTCACCTCCTTTGGTGGGGAGACCTGGAGGTCTCATTAGAAGATCTTAAGGTCCAAGTAGGTCCACATGAGAGAAGGCACTCCTTCAGGTAACCTGGTCCTAAGCTGTTTAGACATTTAAAGGTAAAAACCAACACTTTGAATTGGGCCTAGAAACAGACCAGCAGCCAATGTAGATGGCAAAGTATAGGCATAATATGTTCGTATTGGCCAACCCCAGTCTAGCTGCTCTATTTTGAGCCAACTGAAGTTTTCATTTTCATTTCATTGCCATTTTCAAAGGCAACCCCTTCCTCCTCTGGGTATAACACATTGCAAACACCCAATTGGGAAAATAGATTCTAGAAAACAGCTCTGGTGAAGCCAAAGCAACAAAATGTGCTTACTTTGGTTACTCTGCTTTTGGCATTCCTCAGTAAGTAAGCTAAGCATTACTTACTAGAGAACACAATTTTTTGAAGAAAGGATTGATTTAGACATCCACCTTCTATTTACCCATCTTACTGACCTTGCCTAGGCTCAGAATCTAAGCAAGGTTATACCTGGTTAGTACTTGGATGGGAGACTACCAAGGAAATCCAGGGCTACAGGCTAAATTGGAAAGTTAAAAACATCTAGGAAGAAGGCAATGACAATACCTGTTCCATAGTGTTCTCAAGACAGCTGTATGGTTGTTTCCGAGAGTCGAGTTTAATTTGAAAAAGGCCTTTACTCTCTAAATCTCTATTTACCAAGTACCCAGGGAACAGACAATTAAAAAAAAAAACACTGTTTAATCCTAGCATGGAAAAATTAAGGAGCAAATATTGTACAATGGATTTTGAATTGATTTAAGACTAAACCAGGAATGAGCTCTCAATTTCATTGAAAATTCTATTCTCATTGAAATGAATCTAACTAGTACTGCCTTTCGATCTTACTGCTTAGTTGGGCAAAGACAGGAATCAGAAACAAGGAGGGTAGAGCAATAGATGTTAGCAGGGAGGTGTAAACCTGGATCTCTTTTTAGCTTCTTACATATTCAGGGTGAGATCAGGACATTACATTTCTTCAATCTTGTTATCATGTTACAGTAATCATTTTATTTATTTGCCATTTTCCTAGCAGATTTCCTACTTCCAAAGTAGTGAAACAATCTTTCTGTAGTCATTGGTCTTAATGTTTTAGTGTAAAAATCTCTCTCTCTCTCTCTCTCTCTCATTTTGCATTATCATGGCATGGGCTTATTTTTTTTTTCTGCTAAAATGAATCAGGGACCTTGTATAACCTTCACATTAAACCTGTATTTTACAATTTACATATCAATAATAATTTTAATATTGCATTTTACTCTTGAATACTTTGCAACAGGAGATACATCCTACCATTATAAATAAATTAACATGCAAACGTAATATTAAATATGTGGGATACTCAGTTGAAGTTGGTTAGGGCTCCAGGGCATGGCAGATGCAAAAAGTGATGGACTAGTTATCTCCTGCTGTTTTTGAAAAAGGCCCATAGGTATTCTGAGGAATGGCTGACAGTACCAAGTATTAAAAATAAAATAATAAAATAATGCACATACAGTAATTATGCCCAGAATTTGGCTTTATCTAAATCTTCTTTCTATAAGCCATCTAGAAATGCATTTTCTTCTCAATTGGAATCTGAAGACCAAAGAGAAAAATATATATTATATACAAATGGTTGTAATGAAAGCTCCATAATCTTTTAAGCAAGTGAAAAGCACAATTAAGAGCATGTAATTGTGAATGACAAGTGTGTGTAGACATAGAATGCTTTCCTTGCTGGTTATTTTCCATTTAAAACCATTATACCAAGCTGCTTAGGCCTGAAACATTGAGGGGAAGAGAAACCAGGGATAGTTTAGAGCAGATGAAAATTTAAGCAAACCCCTTTCCTGTTATTACCCACTCACAAGTCTTATAAAACTGCTATTCATTGAATCAGTAAAAAATTACTTGTAATAATGAATAGTTTTTCTTTTCAAAATAGTTTATTAGTTCTGCCTTTCCTCTAGAAGCTCAAGGAATAAGTTTGTCTGATCCAATTTTATGTCCACAACATCTTATGAGGTAGATTAGGCTGAGAAATAGCAATTAGCCCAAAGTCACCAAGGAACTTTTATGGCTGACAGTAGACTTGAACCAGGGTCTTCCTAGTGTTAGTCCAACATCTTTTCACTTCTTTATCCCTTTTTGAATATTTCTGGGTTTGGGCTTTGGGAATACAAGATACAACAACTGACTCACAACAAAATAATGTAGTATCCCCAAATACAAACAAGAGTGGTCCTGACAGTTAAAGGTATCAGTCAAGCTGTAGTATTATCCTTGATGAGTTGAGTTTTCAAAAGACAGAATATTCTTTCCTATCTTTTTAAGAACTTCCTCTCACTATATTATATTAAAAGGCCCAGCATTTTGGCTAGTACTACAATTTACTGTTTTGCTTGTGTGGAGTAGTGGTTTTAGCATGGAAAAAACAGGGATTTTATTTAAAGCTTTAACACCTAATTCAGTTATAAATAATCCAATAATAATTGTCAGTGGTCTTTTGAATAGAGTATGATATTTTTTCGTGGTTCTGTTTATTTTGGCCAAGTACTAGCCTACTCTTTTTGTTTGGTTCCCCCTCTCCCCCAAAAGAAATAAACGCTAATGCAAATTAGTAGTGTAGGTAGAGGAAACCTTTGTTTTCCATTTTTTTTTTAATCCAATTTGATTTTTTGTTAACTTATCCAAACGGGCCTAAAAATCTTATCACAAATGTCAACTCTACAAGATGTTAATGAGGAATGGTATGTGCAAGAGTTCCCCCCCCCCTTATTTATAACTAAAAGGGACTTTTAGCCCCTTCTGCTTCTTGAAAAAAGAGGTAGTTATGCTTAGCTTACCTTTCTTGAAACTAATCTCATTCTTTCCCTTTCATACATTTTAAAACTCATAAGACATAATTTCTGTTAAATAATTGGCTCAAGTCAAAATGGGAATTTAATTTTTCTAAAGGTAGAACTAGTAGATTTTGTTAAATAAAAGTTTTAATTTTAATTAATGCTATTTACACCATCAAATGTATTGACAATATTGAATAATAAACTTATTAAAAACCATAAGTGTAAGTAGTGTGAATAAAAGTAAAGCCTTAGATATAACTTATACAGGACTTTGAAAAAACATTTTCTTACTGAGTGATGTGATCAGGCTCAAATATATACCCAGCAGTTACAAAATTATTATACACATGTGTTAGTTTCTTGATCTCTTTTATATATACATAAAAAGTGTTGTTTTTAAAAAACTAAAAATAAATAATGAAATTTACTTCCTTAATGTGAAACCTGTGCTTGTTTTTTTGCTGCACAAATGCTTAATTCTGGGTTGAACTTGAGATAAGCACACACAGATTTTATCTTCAATGAGATGATTTCTGTTCTTAATCTTGATGCTTGTTCAACATGAAGAAGCTTGTTCATATGTGTAAGAAGTTGAAAACTGCAACCAAATGTTCATTGCTTTCCTGTGAATGGCAGGATTCTCTTCTTTTACAGAACTCTAGAAATTGTCCAGGGGCAGATCAGTAAATCTCATCTTGAGCATACAATCAGACTTCAGCTCACAAAGTTCTTTATTTTCTCTCAAAGTCAAGTTCTCAGGCTGAGCAGAAGATTCAGAGACAGAGTCTCTCATCCAGTTATACACTTGTGTTGAAAGGAGAGGAAAATACTACAGTATTCAAATTTTGTTCTGCAGATCTTCCAAGTGGTTTTCAATGAGTCTTGAGACTTCTGATATGTATTTACTTACTTACTTACTTACATACTTACTGGATTTATAGGACACTCAAACAGTGTGACTCTTGGTGGCATACAACAGAAAAACAAACAATAAATCAAAAGCACCACATAACATTAAAATATATGCAGTATATAAATACAAAATATAAAATGGTGACCAAACACAATAAAAACAACCAAAAGGGGACTCAATTCAATTGGATCAAGCACCTAAGGAAAAAGCTAAGTCTTAATGGCTTTCCTAAACTCAAGCAGAGTTGGGGCCTGTCATATATGGTGGTGGTGAGAAAATATTTCCAGAGCACAGGGGGAGCCACAAAAAGTGAAGATATCCTTCCTCACTTTCAAGCCCAAACAGCAGCGGACACATTTCAAGATTTTCTTTTGAAACAAGAATCTTGTCACTTGAAGTCAAAACATTTTCTCCAGGACCCTGCATAGTCATGTTCAACTGGTTCATGTGATGGAAAATGTCTGCTAAGTAGCCTAGTTTCTGCAGCCATTCCTCATCTTCAAAGGATTCATCAAGATCTGGCCTACCATTTTCTTGAAAGTGCTCTTGTAATTCATCTTTCAGCTCAGACACCCTGTTGAGAACTCTTCCTCTGCTAAGCCACCAAATTTCTGTAGGTAGCAGGAGATTTATGTGCTTTTTGACCAGGTTTTCACAGTTTATAAACATTCTCGTGTAAACTGGTTTGGGTTTAATAAAGTTAACAATTTTTGTAGCACCACCAAGAACTTTTTTCATTTCATCTCCAAGAGTTTTTGACACTACCACTCTCTGTGAAGAAAGCAATGTGTTATGACCACTTCAGGATATTCTCTTTTTTTACAAGAGGCAAGACCTCCATGGAACCAATCATTGATGAGGCACCATCAATACAGATGCCAACACAGTTCCTCCAAGACAAACCTTTTTCCAGATATGAAGACAAAACATTTAATATATTTTGATCTTTACTTGTTTCAAGCAGCTCTTTGCAGCAGAAAAACGTTTTCTGGAATGTACCATCATTTTCAAATCTTACAAAAGCTACACCATGACATTTATTGGTGAAATCTATTGACTCATCTACCTGGACAGAGAAGCTATTCTTTTTCAGTTTATCACACAAAACCTCTTTAGCACCATGTGACATGTCATCAATATGTTAACTTATTGTACTGTTTGAGACTGGAACATTTTCAATTTCTTGTATTGTATCTTGTCCTAGCATTTTATTCATTATAACTTTATATGCTGGCATTATGAGGTTCTCAGCAAGTGTGTCGCTTTTCCTTTCCTGGGCAAAATGTTCTGCTATGAAATAATTTGCTTCCTGAGCCGTTTCACTGACAGTGACTTTTTAAACAAAAGCTCTATTCTGTTTCTTTTGAAATACCAATAGCTGTTTAAAATCAGCACCTTTATTTGTCAAATGGCTGTGATTTGTGGTTAAGTGTCTTTTCAATTTTGCTGGAGCATAATAAATAACTAAATGAGAAAATTGCAAAAAACATGAACACTTCACAATGCAATTCACTTCTAACCTACACAATCCACACTTTTTGTTGACAACAACAGTAAAGTGGCAAGCCGGCAGTTGAGTTGTGGTGTGTAAAAATTCCCACCATTGCAAGTGCTAGCATTGTGTAGCATGCAAAGTTTAAAAAACAATGCTGATTTTTTCTTCAATCATGATTTGTCACAGAACCCTTAATGACCTCTCATGGAACCCTAGGGTTCTGCTGAACCCCAGCTGAGAAATGCTGACCTAGACAATAAGATAGTAATAATTTATCTGTGCCTTCAAGGTTCCATATGTTAGGGATACTTTAGGGGTGTTTGTAGTTACATTTATTTTCTTTTAATTCACAAAATGGTATACATCTACACACTGTTAGCATCATCTGTACAGAAACCACTGTCTTCATTCTGAGTTTCCCTTTTAAACTGATAGACACTGTAGTTTGGGCCTTACTCATCTTTTTTACAAATCCTACTGAACCTTTTTCAATAGATAGATAAATGCTTTCCTTCTAGCTGCTGTTAAAAATAATAGATATTTTACACTGATTGGATTTTGGAAGCCCTTTGTCACTTGGATTTTCACATGCATTTGTAATATCTGTGTTTAGCAAGGTTTGTTCTGTTTAATTGGAAGAGCTGCTGACTTCTCTATTCCTCATGATATAATTTTTATTTTATTTGGCTTGCTTTAAAACCCTAACCTTCTGTATAACCTAAAAGCCTGCTTATGGCACTGCACAGGCTAGTTGATTAATCATGTATTTAAATATCCATAAGATGCTCATTCCCATGCTGTGGATTTAGACAGCTCACAAATATTTATAATTTATTGATTGAATTAAAGATGCACTTTATCTTGGATAGATTATTCACTGTAATCTTTTCAGATCCAGACACTGATGCTACCACCATTCAGCAAGTGAGCAATTACATCCTGTCCCTCCGTCTTCCAACTGACACTGGCACAATTCTCAGTAAAGTCACTGAGATTCAGAATCTGATTGCTAAGCTGCAGTGTCCTGACAGCATCATTGCCCAAACTGCTGGGGATATAGCTAAGGCCAAACAGCTTCAGCAGGAGGCTGAAGAAGCCAGGTAACGTTCATTTATTTGTCTGTTAAATTTATATCCTGCTTTTCATTCAGGAGACTAAACTAGCATGCATAGCATTTCATTCTCCAATTTAAGACCAAGAGTTTGATAACTTTGGATTGTGACAGAAGAATGTTAGAATTGGCCCATTGTTATCGTAATATTTGACATAAGTTCATTTATAACATCATTTAGTAGAAGTTCTTTCTGAATTCTGAGGTACAAAAAAAAAAAAACCTTGCCTTCTTGAACATTCATTGGGAAATTGTTCCTGTCTACTTTAGGAGGTAGTCTAATATAAAACCCTTATGGTTCCTTTAACTTGATCATTTATTCTTCTTGATCGTGTAATAATCAAGTGAATGGAAACAGATAGTATGTATGGAAACATATAATAACACGAGGAAGTGCTATGGGAAGCTGCCTAATATTCTTAGTGGTAAATACTGACTTCAGATTAGATCTTCTCCATTAATAACAGTAATCTGGATAGCATTTTGCAAGAGTATTTAAAAAGTTCACATACATTATCTCAGTTCAGAAAAAAACATATCAATATGCCAGTACTATTGTCATCAACATATGACAAATGGGATGGGATGAGAGGAAGCTGAATATTATCTATTCTAAAATCAGCCAAAGAAGCTTTATGGCCTAGATCACATCGTTCTAATATTGTACCCACCACAATATTTATACTATGGGCTGCCACAAAAGAGTAGGATCTCTTAATAGCCAGTTTGCAAAATTTATCTATTAATGCTATTTAAGTGGTGCTAAAACTTTGTCTCTGCTTTTTTGGAAGCTGAAATCTTATGCTGCTTTTTTATTGTATGTGCTCATATTGTGTTCAACAGGTCATCGTTATATATTACCTATAGAACTGGGATCTTTTAAAAAAGAAAACATCATTTCTTTAATGCAATATTTTCCTAGGAACCAGGCCAGTACTATTGAAGGCAATGTGGATGATGTGCTGCAGAAATTGAAGCAAGCAAGCACAGCACTTCAAGAAGCTGAACATACTATCCATGCCTCTGCTTTTCCCCTCCAGCGTATCCAAAGTCGCCTTGATGAAGTAAGTGATGTGTGCTGAGATTCTGACACTGAACCCCTCTCTAAGTTGTTACTCTAAACCACCTTGCTCTCCTTTTCATATTAATAAGCCATTGTTTCCTATAGCAGCGATTTCTATGGCTGATTACTTTCCTTATTAAAATATTCCTTGTTTATGTAACCGGTATTTTTTTTCAGGGATGAAATAGTTTATAAAATTGTTTAAAATTTCATATTTGGAATGTTCAGATCCAGACCATCCTTACTCCAGCTCAGGAGAATGTGCGGGATATCACCAATCAGCTGGATAGCTTCACTGAGAGACTTGCCCAGTTACAGCACAAGGCAAGCCAGAATCAGTTATTGGCTGCAGATGCTCAGCAGCAAGCAACAGAAGCCAGCAAGCAAGCAAAAAGCACTCAGCAGGTATGAAAACGGGAGATTACTTTAGTGGGTTGTATGCTTTAAGCTGCACTATTAGTCAGTCAGCCCTAAGCAAAAATACTTGGTAAATGTTCTGAGCATCTGTCCCAATTCAGCCATTAGACCTGTCAATGACATTGGCTACAGTGGTCCCATTTTGCATTTTTAGTACATATCCTGAACACTCTCAAAGAACGGTCATTGTGGAGTCACATGACCAGTCACAATGTGTCCATTCAGCAAAGGACAAACTGGTGAGATTGCCTCTTGCTACCCCTCTCATCCCCAGTTTTATTTGTTCTTCAGTGCAATGACATCTGCCTAGCCAGGCTTTATTTAATAATAAGCTTAAACAACTGATACTGAAGAACAAACAGAACTTGTTCAATATAATTGCCATTTAACCTTATTCTCCAACATGATACCCTTGGAAAACAATGCGCCACTAGACCTCTTTTTGTGCCTGCCAGATTCCATGTCCCACCTGAGATTATTTTAATTAAAAAAGAAGGGAAGCTAGCATGCTGCAAGGGAAATTAAGAGTCTCTGGCTTCCTCATTTCTAGGAATACCCAGAGGAATATCATAGGCCCCAGAATTCTGTGCAAATAAAACTGTCAATGACAATGACATCTGCCTTGTCAAGCTTTGTTTGATTATATTCAATAAAACAATTGACTGTTGAAGAACAAACAAAACGTGTTCAATGTACTTGTCATCTTTAACTCTTCTTTTTATATGAAAGTTGCTTGAATTTGGGGTAGGAGTGGTTGAGAAAAAGAAAACACTTCAAAGTGGACAAACTGGAATACATCACAGTGAAAAGAAGGTGTGTTCTGTGCAGCCTGGAGAAATCAGAAAATTATCTGCTGTGAAAGGAGAATTACCACTTCTTAGAGAAGAAAAGGAACAGGAAAGAGGGAAAACCACTGTTTAATAGTTTGACATGCTTACAGTATAAATGGAACACTGATTAAGTAGGATTCCATCTAACACCATGTAATCTCAGGCGAGATCTGAGATTTGGGGGTGGGAATTCTGATGTTATCTACACAATACATCAATTGGAAGTTTGACTATCCTAGTTCTCATTTCCATCTCCTCCCCGCAAGGTATTTGAGCAACTGAAGGGCAAATACACGGAACTGAAGAGGCAAGCAACACAAAGGCCAAATCTAGGAGTCCAAGGAGCCCGAATTCAAAGTGCCCACACAGAGGCCAACACATTGTTGAAAGAAGCCTTGAATATGATGTCCAAAATGGGAGGTAAGGATTATCTGCATGGCAGCTCTCCAACTCCTATGCCTTATAAATGACTTCACAACTCTTGTCTTCATTGCCTTGGCATTCCATGTAAGATTGCAGATTTTAAAAATGATATCAAACACAAAGGTCCTTCTCTGATCAATTAACCATTGAAATAAATGAAACCTTAGTCATTTCAAATATAATGTTGCAGAGTTTCATGTATAATAATTTCATTTAAACTAATAATTTAGTACCAAATATACATTAAGCAATGTGGATGTACTTTTCAAGTTTAAAACTGCATACATCTTTTCTGATCTAAGTAAACCACAGGATTTATAGAGAGAATGAGATGAAGAGCTACTATAGTGATCCTGTGAGGCATTTCAGCTTGTCCTTTTGATGGAATGGACATTGAGGAAGAATATAAATACTGTGTTATATAGCCAGTCACAGACTTGCTCCATAATAATGGCTTGCCAAGCCAATTTTTTTGATGCTCTATTTGGACACTTCAGTTTAAAGCTTTCAGATCTAATGACTTTGCTCAATATGTTCTGGGAAACAGCCAGTGTGTAGACAGAATGCCCTGACTCCTGTGGCAGGTGCAGCATGAATAACTAAGTGGCTCAAAGCCAGAGATTTTTTTTAAAAAGAGTGTTACTGTTGTTTTCATTGATAAAGCTGTACCTCTAATGAATGTCTTTCATTGAAGGTGCCTCTCTGAACCAGAGATTTGGCAGCTGGCTGCTGCAAGGCAGTTACTACTGCTCAGAGTTGGCTGAATGCAGTGAGGAATGTTGATATTATTAAATAGGCCACCAGACAATTTCTCATGCAGAACATGATTTACCAGTGCTGGCTGACGTCAATGTCAAAATTCATTGGGCCCTACCGAAAGGAAATGATGCTTTTTCAGACAGAAAGGCAAAACTGATTTTGGATGCTATGTAACAGACAGCAGTTCCTTAATGTTGGGTCAAGTTCTGCCAATAGTTTAGAGAAGCTGAGTGAGCCTCTTATAGCTACTGTTATGGGCAAGAAAAATATGGCATGTAAGATGGGGATAGAGCCAGGGATAACTGATTTTGCTTCATAAAACAACAAATACTGCTACATAGAGGATGCAAAGATACTTATAGTAAATTGAGTAAATAATCATATCAGTACTTAGAAGCTTTAATTATTATTTCTGTTCGGCACCTGTTTTTACCATGGATATACATTTCCTCTTCCTGGGATTATACATTGCTTTTTGGATAGAAGAGATAAACAGTAATGATGAGTATGTAGGGAAATGGCTTGCATCATCTATCAAAACACAAGCATCAAGAAGATGATGGTGGTTGAAAATCAGGGAGCTATAGATGTAAACCAAATTTTGGGTTTTTGAGGCTTAATGGGTCATTTAAAAACACACATTGGGTTAAGGATGCACACACTATCTGTACTTGGCTAATTCTAGACCTTGCCAATATTGTGTGGCAAGGTGTGAAATGATATTCTTCTTTTGCTCATTTGAGTATGAGCAGGGTTCCTAATGATAGAATTCTATTGACTTTCAAACAAATATCAATCGAACTATTCTTCTCATCTAACCATTCAATACAGGAAAGTTAGGGAGTGAGGTGGTGGGGCAGATCCACAAAGGATAAGAGGGAGGGGGCAAGCATGTGCAGCCTATGGTTCTTGCATGTGCGGTGGGGTGCCTGATCGGACTGAACAGGCATTGCATGACAAGAGTACATGTTACAAGATGTTAGAAAAACAGAACAGGTTGAGCGGTCACCTGTATAGTGTTAAAGAATTAGAGTGGGAAAAGAGTTTCCGTGTATGTAACCTATTTCTGTTTCATTCCTCAGCTTTAGAAACAGAGATACGAGAGAGTAACAACGTATTCATCCTCAAGTCAACCAGGCTGGAAGGCCTGGAGAAGAAAGTGGAAACAATTCGTAATCATATCAGTCAACGAGCTGCGTATTATGCCAGTTGTACAGATTAGAACATTTTCTGCTCCTTTTGTGACCAATCCTTCTCCCTGCCTAATTTATCAAGTTTATTTTTTCCTATCTGCAAAAAAAATATATCCATCATGTACAGTGGTATCTCGGTTCACGAACTTAATTGGTTCCGTGACTCTGGTCGCGACCCGAATTGGTCGCGACCT